CCCCAAAGATGGAGACCCCACCTCCCTGGTGACCCGTCTCAGAGCTGCATCACCCTCCTGCGAGGGGGTTCTTCCTGCTCATTCATGGTGAATGAGATAAACCCATATCAGAGGCTCTCCTGGGTCAGACCAGAGCCTGCCCGCCTGGGATACTCTGGCTGGCAGAAACTAGTAGCAGATGCCCTGGAAGAAGTGTGGAAACAAGGCTACAGCAGTGCTTCCCCAGAGCTCGGCCCTGTCCCAGCACTGTGTGGTTTAGTAGCTGTCCCAGCTGCAAGAGGTATCTTTGTTTCTTCAGGCCTGGCGGGATTGTGTGAGGGTCCCACCTCTGCTAAATGTCTCATGCAAATTTGGGGCACAGTGTACGCCACATGCTTATTGCTGCTGGAACAGTACTCATTTTGCTCCGGCGTTCATCAAGCATCAACCTATCCAGGGCTTATTAGCTGCACCTTGATGGAGCGTTTCACTTTCTCTTGCTCTGCTTCAGCCGCCCTAACAGCGGGGTGGGATCAGGATCATGCAGACATAGATCAGTTACTAACAGCTTGCTGTGCTTTGCTCCAGGCAGTCTGTCAGGGCCTCTCTTTTACAGGACCTCGCCATCGCCTGTCAAAGGGTCCGAGGCACGGCTCAGTGCAGTGCTCCGGTGTTCACACAGCATCCATCAGGTGCAGCTGCTCCCTGCAACTGGAGTGTGCCAGAGAAGCAGGACTCCATCCGAGGGCTAACAGAAGTTCAGGCAAGAAACCCAGGATCCCTTTTCAGAGGAGACTCTGCTGGCTGTGAAGTTTCCAAGCGGAAGGGTTCAAGTTGCAGGGCAGGAACTGAATTCACGGTGTCACTAATGACTCAAGTGTGCCCATGCACTTTTCATAGGGAATCATAATTAAGCAATTAGGCACATGCCAGGTGCATGAGAGAACCTCACCCCCAAGAGGAAAACACATAACTGTGTTTACAAGTGTCTGCCTTAAAAATATGCAAAGGTGAGATACAGCTGGGATGGTTTGTGTTTGGGCTTTGGCAGAGTTTAACCTTGTTAGGTGTTGCCCGGTTTCCAAACATCCAGGCTATTTACTGGGTGGCCCTGATAAGAAAGACCACTTGGTAAGAGCCAGTAATGAGTTGTGTGGCTTGGAGGCTGCAGGAGGGCTGAGGAGGGGAGGGCCAGGCAGTTTCTGAGTATTGGGTTAGGAACTGAGTGAGCTGCACCTCCTGGCACTCAAGGAGAGAGGAAGGTCCGGGAAAGCACAACCACCATAAGACTTCCCTCAGCACCAGTGGCTGAAGGGAGAGGTCACTTTGGTCGAGCAGAGGGAGCTTTCCCTAAGTGCGGGCATGACCTCGGACAACAAGCTGTGGGCTGTGGAGCTGTCAAGTGCAAGGATGGGAGTGTCAGCTCCAGCATGGGGATCCCCCTGGGAATGAAGCAGCAGCATCAGTGAGCGTTGTCTGTGGCGTATTGAACTTCATTGCTGTAGGGTTCTGGGTGGTGACAATAACTCCAGATAGCATTACGTGTTTTGCGTGGCCCATGTGTCATTTAGAGAGGCAGAAGTCATGGTGTGCTTTGATGGATCCAAAATGCCTCCATCCAGATGTTCCTTCTCAAATACGAGTTTCAGCGTGTCTTAGGTTAATGGCTGCTGGTTGTGGGGTTTTTATCAAACTGGAGGAAATCCAGATCTTCCTTGGAGAAGGGACAGATCTCCATTTCCTGAAGGGACAGCAGATTCCCTGTTGGATTTCATTAGGCATGACCCTCTTGCAGGGAGTCTGAGAGGGGCTCAGTCTTTCTAGCTGATGGCTGGCTTGCCTTGGAGCGGCAAGGGTGCCTGCTGAGCTCCGCTTTCTGCATCTGATATGACAGAGCTTCTCACTGTCTGGAGCATCCAATGTCTTTTTTCTGTCCACTCCTCTCATCCAGGGCATGAATGTGCTGGCACTGCCCAGCTCTGCTGTGGAAGGGCTAAGGGATGAAGATAACGCCTGATGGGCTCTGCTTGCTGAGCAGGGCCTGGGGATATCAACTGCCTTGTATGCTCTATTTTATTGAGAGTCATTCAAAATGATGCTTGGCTACTCTGCAAGCTGCACAAGGGCTTGTCAGCGTGAGAAAGCTGGAAAGCAAGATCTGTCCTCTCCTGCGGGCTGGGTGACTCACTCTCGTGCTGCAGAAGCGAGGGATTTAGCCAAGGTGACCTTCAACCATGTCTGCGCTTGTGGTGGTTTGAACAGCTTGTTTCGGGGGAAGGCAGCTAAACTCCCTTGTGTTGAACCAGAATTCAAACTTGAATCCACACAGTGAGGACTTTGCTTCAGCTAGGTAAATTAAGTAAGTGCAGAAAACAACAGGTTTTTGTGAAACGTAGGGGGTCAGCTCAGAGCCCAGTTCCCATCCTATGTAACCTCCTGGCATTCAGAGGAGGAACCTGGGCAGTTGGACAGACCTGCGCATTCTTCTAAGACCAAGTCACAGAAAGTTTAGATGAGAAGGGACCTCTGGAAGTTCCCAGTCCAGTGTCCTCCTCTGAGCAGGCCTAGCCCAGAGCTAGGTCAGGTTGCCCAGGGACTTGTCCAGTTGAGCATCAAGTATCCAAGGGCAGAAATCCCACCACCTCTCTGGCCCCTGTCCAAGTGCTGCACCGCTCTTGCAGCAAGGAGTTTTCCCCTGATGTCCAGTAAGAATTTCTCTTGCCACAGCTTGTTCCCATTGCCCCTTGTACTTCCCCTATGCACCTCTGAGGAAAGCCTGGTTCTGTCTTCTCTAGAAATCCTTTCCCTTTAGGCAGCAGATGACTGGCAGCAATTAGATCCCGCTGCAGCCTTACCCTCTCCAGGCTGAAGAAGTCCAGTTCCCTCCGCTTCTCCTCACATCTTCTGTATCCCGGCCCATCCTCATGGCCCTGCACTGGAGTCTCTTCAGCTTGTCAAGGCTTATCTTCTGCCGTGGGCCATCAAACTGGATGCAGCCTTAGGGGTGCTAAGAAGAGGGGAACATCCACCTCTGTGGACCTCCTGGCTAGATGTTTTCTCGTGCAACTTGGACTGCAAGTCCGGCGCACAGTCTATAGGAAGCCTTTTGTAGTTTTAACAAGATGTTTCAACGTCTTACATTTTCAAGATGGTGATGCAGAGTCCGAGCAGAACAACAGCACTTGATGCTATAGCCTGGCTCTGCGTTTATGCAGAAGAGCATAAGTTAAAAAGTCCCTCTGGCTGAGAAAATGAGATCAGCCTAAAAAAGAACCTGCAAAAACGTGCAGGAGACCATTCCTCTAAAATGACTGACTTCAGATATTTGTCTTCCTTTCATTTCTCCAAGCAAAGACTTGAAGTTTAGGAGGGATGTTCGCTTGAAATGGGGCAAACATCTCACTGCTTGTGCTGCAGGTACAGGGTGTGTGGCCACCAGCAAGGCCAGTGCTGGGCTCTGGCCGTGTCCTCCAGAGAGGGGGCGGCTGGCTGTGGGTTTGTGGACCTGTGCGCTGGGAGGAGAGCATTCTGGTTCCAGCATGCCTGTGTTTCAGTCTCTCGTGACCAGGGTGATTGGTGACAGGAGGCACCCGGTGCTCAAGAGTTTGGATGCGTAAGGCTGTGGGGTGATGCTGGGGACAGATCCAGCTCCTCTTGTGCTCTGCTGTGCTTTGCTACTGGGTTTTGCAAAATTCGCGTGGACTCACGTTTTCAGTTGTGATCTCAGAAGAAGCTGATGTGCATCTTTCCCTCTGTTGTTACTGGACCTGGCCCTAATTTGTTGGTCCCTTCTTGAAACTCCTGGGAACTGGTTAACGTTGGGGTGCTCAGTGACTCAAAACAGCAGGGCGGCTGTCGAGTCCGCCTCTTGCACACCAGCACTCAGGTGTGCTGGGATGCAAGCCCAGAGTTCGCAAGCCATCCCATGAGCTGCGGGACCACCGGAGACTCATGTTTTGGTGGATAGATGCCCTTCATCCCTACATCCCCACTGTGTCTCCCCTTCTCCAAGTGCTTCTGGTACCCTCCCTTCCTCCGGACCTCCCTGCAAATGCCCCAGCCCTCTCCTTTGTTCCCTGACTGTCAGACGAAGGGGTTGCCCAGGCTTGCTCTGCGTTACGCCTGTGCTGATGGACCCTGTGCAGGCATGTGCCGCTTGACAAGAAATTGGGGGTTGAGTTCTGTATGAGAATTCATTAGCATTAGCTAATGGCTTTAAGGTTTGTCAGGGGACTGAGAAGCCACATAAAAATACAGTCTTTGTTTAGGAAACCAACCAGAGCTGATTTGCTCCTCTCATCTGCACAGTGTGCATCTTGGATTTACACCTGAGTGATTCACTGAGGTCTAAGTGTGCACACAGAAAGTACTTGGCTTCTCTTCAAGTTTATAGGAGATGGTCACTTGAGGTGTGTATAGTTTCTCAAAAAAAGCCTGGGCATTTAAAGTTATGCTAAAAGTCAAAGAAAATAAAAAAGAGATTGTAGCAACTACAGAGGGGTTGGTTGACATTGGTTTATTATTTTTATACTGAAAAAATAATAGCTCTGAACTTTGACTCGGGTCTATACTTAAGCTACTAAAAAATCCTGTAAGTCAAACCTCTGCATGAGTCAAATAGGAACTGATCTTGAGCCAGGCTATCCCTCATGAGGTTAACTCCTGCCTCCAGTGCTGCTTGAAACCAGCTTTCATCCTGCGTAGCCTTCTGCCTTCAAACTTGGCAGTTTTTCCAAGAATCATTGATGCCCATGCTGTTGATGCTTGCTGGCCACCTCCTTATCTCAGAAACCAAGCCCTTGATCTGTTTTCTTACTTCAAAGCACTGAAAAAGTTTCCCAGTATATTTGAGGGTGGATGGGAAGGATGTTTATTTCGGCCGCCGTGGTTCTCACTGGCCTCTGCTTTTGCTGGAGATCCGTTGTGGCTGCTGACTCGAGACACACCAAACCCTCCCATGGAAGTGAGCCGCATGCGGGGCAAGCCGGGGAACGCCGAAATCGGAGTCGGATTGGAACAGTAACAGAATTTATCACCGAACTAACCTTCACTGAGGTTAGTTGCTCTTTCTCCCCGTGTACACATGAAGAGGAAGGGGCTTTCCGGCATGTCCTGCTGCTGGCACACTCATGCACGTGGGAGGCCGTGCAGTTCGAGGCCGCGCGCCCCAGCGTCGGCGTGCACAAGGCTGCCGCTGTGCCGCGTTACGCAGCACCCGGGGGAAGTCAGTCTCTGTGCTTTCTCCATGACACTTTTGTGTTTTCTTGGAATTTGTCTTGCTCGCTGCTGTTCCTGTCACTTTACCCAGTTCTGCTCTCTCCTTTGGTTCTTTTTCCTGGGGTTGTCAGAGAATGGAGGGATGACCCCGCAGATCCTCTGACTTGGCGGTGCCCGTGCTGCTCCGCAGCCTCCCCAAGCAGCCCACTGCAGCCTGAGCCCATTGCTGCTCCTTGCCCACTTGAGGAGCATGGCCATGTCCCCATGCCCGCTCTCCGCCGTGGATGGGACACAGTGGTCCCACGTGGGCCACCTTCCCCAGGTCTCCACTGGTTCCCTGCGCGGAGGCTGGTGCTGCTCTCAGGTTTTGGTGCCCACAGTGCTGCAGGGGGGCTGTACTGGTTCCCTGCGCGGAGGCTGGTGCTGCTCTCAGGTTTTGGTGCCCACAGTGCTGCAGGGGGGCTGTACTGGTGCAGAGCAGTGAAAGGAGTATTGCCACTGTTGTACGGGGACACTTTTCATTGTCACTCGTTCTACAGCATCTGTTGGCTTGTTCAGCGGTTTCCAGAAAGAAACTATTCCAGCCCTCCCCTTAATCACAAAAGCTGCCTTTTTTTTTTTTTTTCCTTGTTTTCCTATATTCATGATAGGAACAGTCTTCCCTGTAGATGACCTATGGTGTACGTTCATCTCCCAGCCGATTTAGTTTTTCTCCTTGAACCTTTTTATTGGGCTTCACGCACACTGACTTGTGCGCGCCTCAGACTCACCAAGTGCAAGTGTTTGGCCTGTCCTCTAATGTGTCGGATGGATACTTCAGACACTGAGACCTAAAATTTTGCTATCTTGGTAGTCAATATGAATTTAAATTTTTTGAGGACTTAAAGTTGCAACAGTGTCAGTCCTGTGCAGCTTCTGTATATTACGTATACATTTTGTTGTGATGCTCCCTTCATTGACTGAACGAAAAGCATATTGGTAGGTTTAATGAGGAATAACAAATCAAAGCTGCCATCTTAGGAAGGCACTGAGAATCGATTTGATGGAGCAGATTTGTGGTGAATTAGGGTTAACTCTTCCCTGAATGTCCAGAAGGGTGTGGGTTTAAAATTTGAATATAAAACTGCGGTTGTGTTGGAAGATCTTGTTATTTTTTTGGAGTGCAGGTGTGGGGGGACCCGTGTTAAACCGTGTATGAACCCTAGCGTGGGTTGGGTGAGCTGTTTGCAGAGGTGGGTGTTTCAGCATGTTGTGTGAAGGAAAACAACTATGCTTAGGCAGGATTTACCTGCTTGCTTATTTTTGGCAGTACAAAGCCCTCTTGCCATTTACAGCAGAAGGGCTGTTTGCTTTTTCTTTCGGCACTCATTAGCAAGATAGGGTAGAAGAGGCCTGGGATGGGGAGATAAGGGAGTGCCAGTGAACGTTCCAGTCCTGGAGGCTGTGCTGGAGGATGCGATGCTAAACCCCCACAGCTTGTTCGGGGGGCCGGGGAGCGGTGCAAGGCAGCCTGCTGCTGCCGGCACGGGCAGGGTTCCCAGCGCGTTCTCCGCAGGAGCTGTGTGGGTTGTCGGTGCCGCCCGGCCACACCAGCGAGGCTGTGAGGGCACCGTCCCCTCCCAGCAGCTCTGCTTGGGGTACGTCACAAATGAAACTCTCCCACCGGGGATTTTGGCTGCATTTCAGCAGGCTCCTGCACATGTCCTCAACCCTCAAGGTCTTCACTATGTGCAGCCCCGGCTTCGCATCTCTGCAAGGTGCTTTGAACCCTGGAGCGCTTTCCAGAAGCATGGCCTGCGCACATCCTGCGACATCCGACGTCCGTCCTGCCTCTCACCTCTCGGTGCTGACAGATGCCGTCCTTCTGGCGGGAGGCGACAAGGTCAGCCCCGCAGGGGCTGAGCCCCCGGCCCGGCCCGGCCGCCGCCGGTGGGCTGCCCCTGGCTGCTGGGAAGGGGCCGTGGCTGCCTCCAGGAGCAGTCGTCCCCACACGTGGCCAAGGCAGAGGCTGCCACGTGCATGGCAGGCGTGGGTATTTTAAGCGGTTTCAGGGAACTTAGCGCCCTGGGGCAGGTTATCCTCTGCCTTCCTGCCTGCTCCTAGCTCCAGCGTCTTCCACAGCAAATCGGTCAAAACTAGAAGCGTAATACGAAATGCAGGCTAGTCGTGGTTCATGCACTTCAATCTAAGGTTGCAGCACATCTCCAGACCCGGGTCCAGGCTGCTTTTCTAGCATCTTCCGCATCAGAGTAGTAAGAATTGCTGTTAACGATGAGCGCTTGTTCATGGGTAATTGTGATAAAGGCTCTGCTTTTTTTTATATGCCTGGACGTGGCTCCTTGCCTGGCTGGAGCATGGCTGCGTGGCTGCTGCACGTCAGTCTGGCAGCTTGAGGTGCCTCGCGCTGGCTGCCGCAGGGGACTGGCAAAGCGCAGGAGCACGGGGGTCCCCACCGCCTCGCTGAGCCAAACTCACCCAGCCCCATAGCCCGTGCTTCCTCCCTCATCCCTCCGCTGCCCTCCACCCTGCTGCCCGCAGGTTGCCTGTGGCCATGCAGAGTAAACCAGCCCGCACGAAAATCTGGTTGTCACCCCCTCCGCTCCGGGCTGGGGGGCCCTTGGGGGCTGTTCCTCCCATCAAGGAGGCACGGTCTGCTGGTGCTCCACCTCCGAAGTGGCGAGTGGCAGGGGAGGGGGCGGGGGAGGGGAGTTTTTTTAATGGCCATCACGCCAGTGGGAAACTGAACATCTGACCAGATGACGGCTCTAAATTTAAGGGCTTGCTGTCGAGCCATGTGTGCATTAGTGTGCCCTTTTGTGACCAAGCTAAAGATAATTTTCCTATCTGGAACGGCAGCTGCATTGTAAGTTGTGTAGAGAGACCTCTCTGCTAATGAAGAGCGATCATAAGAGCATGACCTGCCCTGGAGAGGATGAGCAAAGCTGGAGAGATGTGGCTCGGGGTAGGGCTCTGACGCTCCATGGAAGCTGAAAAGAGGCCATTTGTAGAAAATCAAAAGCTGTTTGGCTCCTTGAAAAATGCACAGGCCTTGCTGTTACTTTAATGTAAATGCCCCTTGAGAGAATAGCAAAACAGCAAAACTTCTTTTACACTGTAGGAAAAGTCACCTTAAATTACCTGGAATTCAGCATTCTCTGCAAAAATTGAGCCAAAAAAATGTAAATATACAGACAGTGCTATGGAACAGAAGGAAACTTCCAGCAAAAAAAAGCAGAGCTGGCCACACTGTTGTGTGTTGTAGTGAGTGTATTTTTAACCCACCTGCATATTTTAAACAAGTCGACCTCCGTAGAAGGTCTGCCACGGTCTTCAGAGCTGGCGGAGGCCCAGTTACGTGCCTGTGATTGTGTGCGGACAGCATTTCGCGTTAGGAGACATGGGACAAACCCCTGGGTCAGCTGGGATTATCCAGATAGGTCATTCAGTACCTTACTCCCACTTTTCTTCTTGAAGCGTTGGTTCAGACGTGCAGTAAGGCTCAGGTCAGCTGCTCAGCTTGCACAGAGCAAACACGTGTTGTCTCAGGGAGGGTGGGTCACCGAACGGCACGTTTAGCTGGCAGCCTCCTGGACACGAGTGGGTAATAACCCCTGATCTCCTTGTGGCTTTAAAACACGGGCACGCGGTAGCCTCGTGGAGGTTTGCAGGGCTCGGAGGTAACTCGGTGATGCCACAAATCTGTTTCCCCACCTGGGGACAGCATTAGCTGGAGTGCCACGTGCAGGGAGGTGTAACTGGGGGCTTGTAGGTGCCTGGGAGCTGCAGAGTTTATGGTTTGCAGTTTGTTGTCCTTCATGGCAATAGATGCATAGGATGCTTCGTTAGCGCCTAGCGTCACTTGGAGAAAGACATCTCTAGCCAGGGTCCTGAGCAAAGCACTTCTTCCCCAGTGCTGCCCTGCAAGCCCATCATGGGGCAATGTGCTACTGGAGTCGTGCTGCTCTCATGACCATGGGCCATTACTTGTGTGTAGGATACGGACGGAGAAGGCGGGGGGCGGGGGGGCGGGTGCTGAGCAACCTGACCTGGCTTTGAAGTCAGCCATGCTTTAAGCATAAATCTTCTACAACTCTGTGGTATTTGGCGTTCCCTGGCCAGCCGGACTGCAGTGTCGTGTTTCATGCATTCAGCCTTACGCTTCTTGTTTTCATTTCAGGTCCTGTTTCGGCATAAAAGTGAGATTCATGAGACTCGTCTAAGATGTCTTACAGGAAGGAGCTAGAAAAATACCGAGACCTGGATGAAGACAAGATCCTTGGAGCTCTGACAGAGGAGGAGCTCAGGAAGTTAGAGAATGAACTGGAGGAGCTGGATCCTGATGTAAGTAATTTTTACACGAGATTTGCTAGGTGGTAAATCTCGGTAGTTTTGGGGGAATTGGCTGCTTTAGTAATCCATATTTAAGTGGGATCCTTTGCAGAGCCTGTACTCGGTACAAGGATGGAAGAGACTGTCCACAGATGAGCAGAATCAGATTTGCCATCGCAAGCACGGGCTACACATGAGGCTTCTTTTTTTCAGTGATACTCCCCTGCCCGTGCCCTGGCGTGCATGCTCCGGTGCGATGAGCCCTGCGGTTTGCAGCACCAGCATGAGCCAGTGTGGATACAGGGCTGTAAACCTGCAGAACTTGGATCTCTGCTTCTGATCATGCCACCTTGGAGAGAATGTTTTGGGTTTTGAGGGTTGTTTGGGGTTTTTTTTTCATAGCAAACATCAAATGTTCTGTGTTTTCCTCCATTTAGGCAGAAATCCAAACCCCTGAGTTTTGTAAAACGGGACAATTGCTTTTTAGCAACCTCCCAACATCGGTAGGAGCTGTGCATACGCAAACGCTGGGCCTGCTGGTGCCCAGCAATGAAAGCTTTTTGGAGGCAGCGTTGTCCTGCGGCCCTAGCAGGGGATGTGCAGAGCCAACTGGCAGGCCTCTGGGCTGCGGCAGCGTTAGGTGATGAGGCTGGGCGCTGCCAAGTGAGGAATTGTTCCTGCAACATGCAGTTAGTGTTTCCAGGGGAAACGATGGGCAGTGTAGATTGCATCAGCAGTATTTTTAATTGCAACACAGGAAAATAATTAAGAGGTGGCAGGCTAGCTCCCGGGATTAAGTGTATGGGCTGATGGGCTGGTTACAGCAGCCTCGGAAGATGCAGAGTCAGGCAGCATCCTGTGAAAGATGCAGAAAGGTAAAATAATCACAAACATGTCAGTACAGGTGTAGCCTACTTACTGGGGTTAAAGCATGAAGGCTGCATGGTTGCCTCTCACAGCAAGCTGCTTCCTATGCCCCCCTGCTTGTGCATTAGCACAGTTCTCCTCTGTTGCCCTCCAAGGTTGCCCAAGTCTAACTGCTTCCTATTAGTCATTTTCCTTCCCAGGCTTTTCACTGGTACAGATTTAAATTATAATGAATTACTCCTATTAGGCGGGCATGGGAAAATCAGCGTGTTGTTCAAAATCGCCTTGGATGTCTTAAAAACTAAATGTTGACTTCTATCCAGGAAAGCTTTAAAGAACATGCTTAGTGTCAAATCTGGGAATAGTCTTACTTACTGCATTAAGGCTGTTCTATATTTAAATGTAAGCAGGTGCTTACGTGCCATATGTGTCAGGCACAAAGCAACTTCCCATGGTGGCTAATGCGACTGAATAACAACAAGGAAGCAGTTTGAAAATGGGCTGAGGTTCGCAGGGGTTTTGTTCTGCAGTGGAGTGACCTTCCCTGTGAGACCCTGCCTGCAGTTTTGTGATGGGTCATGGAGGGCAGAAGAGACCACCGCAGCTCTCTGGATCTGCTCTTTGGAAGACTGTGGGATTTCCCTGAACTGATTCTTGTTGGGACGTGTGGGGCATGTGGGCACTGGGATGTACACACGTAGGGGGGAGAAGATGGGTTGAGTTTAGCAGCGTGGTTCTGGCAGTGCCAATGTTGCAAAGAGGCAGCAGAAATGGTGAGGGTGTGGGAAGAGGCTAGGAGGAGCAGGAGGAGATGGCTGAGAGCCCCCAGAAAAAGGGCTGGAGCTGCTGCTGGAGGGAGGCATCCACTTGGCAGCATGGGGATCTTGCAGTGAAGCCAGCGTTTGAAATTGGAGGGGAGGAAGGAGCATCGCATGTCTTAGATGATGTGGGAATCCATGGGGTGGGATGGAGATAATCTTTGACACAAGGAGAGGCAAATTGTCCAGCAATGTGGAAGAAAGGCAGTGCGATGAGGGAGGTGGAGAGGGGGGAGCGTTCGATGGACGGGGATCAGGGCCTGCAGCGATAACCCGTGTTTCTCCGCTCTGTGCCTAGAACGCATTGCTGCCAGCAGGGCTCAGGCAGCGGGATCAGACGCAAAAGCCACCGACTGGCCCGTTCAAAAGGGAGGAACTCATGGCCCACCTAGAAAAGCAGGCAAAGGACGTTAAAGACAGAGAAGACTTGGTTCCTTTCACAGGTGAAAAGAGAGGTATGGCCATCCTTTGCACCGTGCTGAGTGGGTCACGATGAAGGCACGATGGGTGCACAGCAGACGGGTTGTGTCTGATCCGCATTGCTAAGCATGCCTTCATTTTGACACCATTGGGGTGGTGGATCTGCTCTCTCTGCTACTCAGCCCCAGCCCAGGCTGGCTAAGTTTACCCAAGAGGTCCATGCGCTTACTGATCTGGGTACCACCTGATGGTGGTGGTGGACAGAGGGTGTACCACTGTGCAGCCTCTTTCCGTCCCCATCCCACTGCAGCTGTATCAAGCTCTGGGGAAGACATCCTCTGCTGTCCTCTCTTGTTCCTCCTCTGCCCTGTCCTTCTGTGAGCTCTGCAGGCTGCTCTCTGTCTTCCACCGTTGCCTTTCATGCTCCATCACTGCACTCTGAACTTCATCCTGGCACAGAGAAACTCCACAGCTCCCCTCAGCTGTGATGATCCCAACAGTTCCCGCCTAGTCTTCATCACTTCTTCACAACCCCAGCCTCATTTCCCAGTCTTCTGCAGCTTGCATGTTTCTCTCTTCCCGCACAGTGCCCTGCAGTGGCATGGTCCTGGAGCATGTGAACAAGGGGGTTGCTCTCCCTCTTCTCTTTCCTCTCCTTCCAGCATCTTTTCCTGTTCTCCTGGGACATGTGCCATTATCCAAAGGACTTTCCTGCTCCCATTAGCACTCTGAATATCATCTGACACGGGATGTGGTAGGGTCAGTCCTTGCGTCTGGGTTCCAGGAGCTTCCCAGCAGCTTTTTTCTGCTGTTGTGTCTCCCTCTATACTGTGGTCCCCCTGCAGCAGAAGATCTGCTGGTCACATTACTGGTTGCCCCACGTCAAAAAAGAGGTGCATGAAAATGTGGGCATGTTGAGCATGTTCCTCAACTGAGGTCCTTCTCAAAGCTGCCTCCTTACTGATTCACGTGCCTCTCTAAGAAAGAGCTTGTGTTAAATCTGTCCATGTAATAAAATTTGAGGTGGTATTTTTAGCAAAAAAAAACCCAAAGAAAAGAGTAAATGGAGTGCTATCAGGAAGAGGAATTTAGTAACGTCAAACATACCCCAGCCCAGCGCTGGCTGCCCGCCTGGCTAGCCCAGCAGGTAGTGGCAGTGCTCTGCAGGAGATGGAGGTATTTCAGGCATTTTGAGTCTCCAGCTTCTGGTCTGACCTAATCATATTTCAACCTGATGTGATCTCAAACACAGTAAAAGTATTTTCACCTGTAACGTGCTGTTCAGTGAAGACTCTACTTACACTGACTGTGAGCCAGGGATGGCATATCCACAGTTGTGGCAGAGCTGGAAATAAATCACCACGTTTGCAGGTCGGAGGGTGACTCCCCAGTTTGCCATGGGAGGTGCTCTCCCTGGCCGTGCTGCTGGACAGGGTAGCAGTTGGTGTGTGCGTACACGCTGTATTGTGATATATAATGCTGCACCATTTAATTTAAAGTTCAAACTTGTAATAAAGCATGACTGGGATATGAAGCTTTCTGGAATTGAAACCCAGTTTTGATGATGCTGACATGTCAAAATGAGTTACTGCATGATGGCAGAATTAAGTATGCCCTGTTTTTCCTATTCCCTGCTGA